TGTCTATTTGCTATTACTATATATAATTAAAAAATATGTACGAAATTCCTTTTAATTGGACAATTTCATTTTCACGACACAAATAGTAATATAAACAAGAAAATGAAAAAAATTATTTTGTACACGATGATTTATTAAAAATCCTTTAAAGAACAACTCGGGCTCCTCCATTATTAACTGATATTTTTAGTGAGTTTTCAGAATGTTAATCCTTATCTATGAGTGTCAAGTTTAGAGGTAACGGTGAAAGGTTAATTTCGCGGAGGATTTTATATTAATATGTTAGTTTTGGTTTAGTAGTAACAGACTTTTTCTTTTTCTTTGTAACTCATGTATTTTCCTTACAACTATGGCATTACAATCAAGGATAATCTTTTGGATGAACACGAAACTCGTCTAATTAAACAAATATTTATAATCATCTACCAATGTACCTTATTCTTTTGAGTCAATAATCGAAATTTCAATTACAATGTAGTTTTGTTACATCAGCGTTGGCATTTGGTCATGAAAATTTTGTTGGCCACTTTGGCTACTTGGCCAAACGGCCAAGGAATTGTTTGGTCGCGACCAAATACCAACTATGTGTTGATCAATTTTAACTCATCGAATTGACCATTTCTCTTGTTTTTAATTACATGAAGGATTAGATATAACTTCACAGATGATTCTTTGTGTTTGCTTTATTATACTTAATTAATTAATTATATATATTTAAAAACAATAAAGGCCTTTTTAAATTTATAGGCAAGTAGTAGGTATAGAAAAAATTTACCATTTAAATACAAAGTATCATTAGGCGAGAACCACATCATATCTAAATCCTCTAATACAAAAGACTGCAAAAAAATCACCAGATTAACTCCAGAACAGCTGCAAACGAGAATATTTTTTGATGCATACCAAACGACGTTTATTCTACCTACTGAGGTGGTTGGTTGGTGTTGTAACCTTTTTTGTTGTCTACTTGAGTCAGTTTTTGTCAAAAAAAAATTTAGTTCAGATTTCAAACCTACTAGAATCATTAATGTGTCTTTTAGATAATTTAGTATCTGCTGCTTTAGACATCTGCAGCGTGATCTTTTACTCAGGATCTTGTGATCAAGGATGTAGATACATTTGCCTTAAAAAAATAGCCTGATGTTATTATTATTCATTGGAAGAACAATAATATGTTGATAGCAGAATTAGATAGAGAAAGGTCTACTCACATCATTCTTTTGAATGACACGATTTCTCAGGCCTTTGTACCATATGTATATATATAGTATAATTGAAATGGGAAGAACACCAAAAAGTACAAACAATAATGTAAGCTCTCTGAAAGAGATTGGACACCGATTAATATTATAAATATTGATAAAATATATTTCCAATGCAAAATAAACCTAAAATTTTTTAGATTCTCTTCTCACTAAAAATATCAGTTAATAATGGAGGAGCCCGAGTTGTTCTTTAAAGGATTTTTAATAAATCATCGTGTACAAAATAATTTTTTTCATTTTCTTGTTTATATTACTATTTGTGTCGTGAAAATGAAATTGGCCAATTAAAAGGAATTTCGTACATATTTTTTAATTATATATAGTAATAGCAAATAGACAATGAAAACGTTGTATTCTTTCCTTTATATTATAAAACCGTAATATGAAAAATGGACTATAATACCAATAACAGTGAAAATAATCAGATCTCGCAAATTTTAAATGGTAAGAATTTTATAATCTTCGCACATAAATAATAGAGAAATAGATAGATACCCTAAAAAAGGTGTATGTATGTATATCAAAATTTTTTATTGAATCAAAATTCCCATAATTTCATTCAAAACTAAAATAACATTGTATAGAACAAAATTCTCCCCATCTCGGAACTGTGCCAAAAAATCCTGATCATGAATATTCCGAAAATATCAATTATCATCAGAAGTATATTAAATTGTTAGAAGAAAATGAAAAACGTGATGACTTTAGAAAATTAATAGAAGAGCAAATATTAAGTATTAATTTAGAAATAAATCAAAAAAAAATTGTTCAACGAATTAAAATTTTAGAAGATGAGAATAACAAGTTGACTCTAGAAAATCAAAAATTAACCAAAGAAAATCATGGATCAAAGAATAAAGAATTTTTCTTTAAAAATTTAGAAACACAGTATAATAAATAAACTTGATGGAATTGATTCATAAACTTCAATTCTTTGACAATACATTTCTAAATGATTAGGATCACCAAACTGTGGGTTCCAATTAACAGACACAAATTCAAAAACTTTTCAAAGCATTCATTTTTGGTTTAGTAGATTAAACTTATTTTAATAAGGACAAGAGATATATATCAATATTTTTATTGATGATATTTCTATTCAATATTCCGTAATTAATGAAAACCCCATTTCATTACCCATGGGTATCCAATTAATCCATAAGCCTTCACCAGGAAATTTTTTTGATGTGAATTTATG